AAAAATATTATTTTATATATAAAAGATTATATATATATATATATATATATATATATATATATATATATATATATATATATATATATATATATATATAAAAGGCAACGTCGCCTTTAAAATATATATATATTTTTTCCTTCTCCGGGCGATGTCACCTTTTTCGGCGACATCACCGAGGTGACGCGACGTCGCTTAAAAAAAAAAAAAATTATATATATATATATATATATATATATAACAACCAGTAACAAGCGGTTCGTGTACCAGTCAGTAGAGAGACCGGTATTTAAACCTGCACACCTTGATTAAGAGCATTATTTTTCTACTGATTTTAATAAGTTCTTTTGGGTCTTCCTCTTCTTCTTCATGCATCTTTATTCTAATTATCCCATTTAGATCGTGCATCTATTGGCCTTTTCTCATGAGTATATTCAGACCTCTTTAAATAATTTTCTTTTATTTAGTCATGAACAGGGACCAAGCTTTTAAATACAGTATTACATACCCGGGCGGTACTATTTAAAACTGCATACCTTGATTGAGAGCATTATCTTTCTACTGATTTTAATAAGTTCTTTTGGGTCTTCCTCTTCTTCTTCGTGCATCTTTATTCTAATTATCCCATTTAGATCGTGCATCTATTGGCCTTTTCTCATGAGTATATTCAGACCTCTTTAAATAATTTTCTTTTATTTAGTCATGAACAGGGACCAAGCTTTTAAATACAGTATTACATATCCATACTGGAATTTTAGTAGACAGACATATTGACTGGTACGGTATGGTTTACCTGAGTACACTTGTTAGAAATTACTTACAAATTGTTTGTCCTGTTGAAAAGAATGATTGACACTCCTGTATACTGATATGGTAATGGACTGACATGTATGGTTAGCACTTAGCACTATGGTAATAGAATCTACAATAGGAACATACTAAGTTGTTTCCAAAATATATATATTTATCTATTATATTTTACTAAGCCATACAGTAATCTCAAGATCCTCATGTCAATGAAAGTAATCTTTTGTATATGTTGTATTCCAGAGACCTAATATTCCAACTTACAAAGCATATAGTTAGCAGCTTTCTTATAAAGTCCCATGTTTATATGAGAGGTTACGCAATACTCGTGAGATCTCCCTCTACCAAACTATCTTATTCTCAATCTATGAACTAAATTTTCATCCATCTTCCCATTGTGCTAATGGCAGATCCAATAAATGTGTAAAACCTTTTAAGTCCCAAAGATTTGCTAAAACTGCACGTCGTATGTTTGATTTTAATCTACTTCGTCTACACAATTAACTATTAAGATTAGTCTCCATAGTTCAAGCAAGAGTATATCACAATTAAGTTCTCATCAGAAAACAGTATATCAATAAAGTTACTCGCTTTAGCAACAACACCATAAAACATAATTTTGTTACTTTTAAACCACTAGATACTAATTTTCTAAAACTCAACAAATTTATCTCTAGAAGCTTTATAATAGACATAAAATTCAGTGGCACTCATTTCATATTTTATCATAGAAACTAATTTTCAGTCTCATAATATGGCTTCTTAACTTAAATCTTATATAATTTGAGCAACATTCAATATTTACAATATTTTTATAGACAAATACCAAGAACATCTCAAAAGATCAAGAATTTTACTAGTTCTATTTTTCATGAAACCAAGGATTGAAATTTCGTACCATACCAAAATTTTGAGATTCACTCGGTATGGTACGGTATTGTAAACCAAGCAGTATATTTCGGTATACCACTCGGTATATATATATATACATATATATATATATATATAAAGGTTTTCGCCGAGGCATCGCCTCTCTTCTCCCCGCGCATGGATGAGAAGTCGCCAACAAACGAGGAGGAAAATGATGCCGATCTCCAAGTTCTCCTCTTCTTCTCCCTTATCTTTCTTCCCCTTCTCCCTCTTCTTTCTTCTCCCTCGGTCACCATCTGATTTAGGATGATAACGGAGCGAAAACAATGTCGATAAGCCTCAATCGACAGTACCGCTCGGTAGCAAGCGGTCCGTGTACCGGTCTGCTGACAAACCGGTACATACCACTTAGTATCATTCGGTATTACAAACCTTGTAGAAAACTACTTAAACAAACTGCCACTTGAAGATCAAATATCATTCGATCCTCAATTCTTATCTATTTTTAAACTTCTTTAAGTTATTATTCATATCGATTGCACAATTTTTCATAATTTTGTCACTAATCACTTGACCTCTAAAGCTATCTAATGAATGTGCATTTAATTATTCAATAACATAATCTCTCTCATTCGATCCTCAATATCACTAACAACACGATCTTCACTTTTTAAGCATCTTATATTTATCTGAAAATACTTAATTTCCAAAGCTCTAGCAAACCTAAACATATCCACACATCCTCTCCCAATACATGATCGAGCCTCTAAAAGTATGCAAGCATCAACCAAGTGCATGAACCTTGCATCTTGATATTGTCCCTGGAAAGGATAAGCCTATCACCAAGATGCTAATATTTTAAGATCATATGGAGGATAGAGAAAATAACCTTTCACCAGTTTGCTAGAAAAAAAATGTAACAGCTAATCAAATGGCAATAGTTTTTCAGTTGGATACAAGGGTACAGATAAAAATTCCATTGCATATCAAGATAATGTAACGTCAAAAAGAAAGTAGCAGTAGTATAATGAAGAAAGGAGTTTACCAATATTCAAAATACTCAAAGAACAATATCAAATATGTGAGAGTATACTGACCAAAAACTAAAAAAGGATTTTTACATTAGAGTTTTTAATTGATATAAAATATCATTAACGACATTAAAATTTTACTTAAATAGCAAAACAGCACAATATCAAATATGAGCTTGCAAAAATTTACCTCTCCTAGTTCAGATTGCTCCACGATAGAATATTGAGCACAAGCTTGACCAGAAGGTTCTGCAGCAGAAACTTTAATAAACACATAGAAACAGAAAAATTAGAATACGAGATAATGTATGAAATGCTGCATAAATCATTCCAAGTAAGGACCTTCAATTGTAATTTACAGCAAGTATTCTGGGTAACTGTTCTATTATTCTTTTGTGGAGAGAATACAGAAAATCTATGGAATTAGTTGGGCATAAACACAAAACCAGTTTAATTTACATAAGCTTTTCTTTTTTATTTTTTAAAAGACTGGTGAGGAACCCAGAATCTCTGCATATGCTTCGACACCATCTCTGCAAATATTTGAACCCAGAATCTCTTCATGACAGTGAGGAACAAGCCAAAATTATGCTTTTACTACTACTGTAAGTAATAACAGAATTGAGTGGTTGGGGTAATAAATACTATGTATGTAGATGAGTGGGACAAGTAGGAAGAGTTAGAGCGCATGGTACAAGAGACACATCAAGAAATGAAGTGGGCTTCACATGTTCATTAGAGAATGGCTTTGGATTACATATTGAAGGTAGATGAGCAAATTAAGCCTTTAAATGGAAAATATTGTGACAGCCTAATTACTTCCACACTAAAAATGGAAGAACTAAAATGAGGTCTAGAAAAAAAGGTGAACCCAGCGTATGAAATTCCTACCAATGTGGAGTCTAGGATACGTCAATAAATACAACATTATCTTTATATTTAGAGAGGTTGTTTTGAAGACTTGAATCCTGATCACCGAAATCACAAAGCAGTAACCTTATCATTGTACCAAGAACTATTATGAGTCATATAAAACTAAATAGACTCACTACTAGCAACACAGACTTCAAAACTTTTGGCCATGCACAACAGCTTGTATACCCGAATAGCTAATAGGTTCAAGCGCTCTAACCGACTTGTTACTGATGAGTTCTCCTATAATACATAAACAAGCATTAGCATCATATTTGTTTTCACAATTTTCTCCCATGGTGAACAACTTTCACAAATTTGAAGAAGCATGAAGAAACTGCAATGATTGAAGTAGCTTGTACAAACACTTCAAATACAACTGCAAAAATGCAGGAGGCAAGGGCTACAAAAGTCATCAGTCAAGAGACAAACATGATCATAGAAGTGATATAGAAATTATTATCCATAACCATTGGATGCAAGTTCTTAATCACATAACTTGAATGACATGATATAATTACATTATCCAAGATATCTAAAAGGTTTTGTCATATGAACTTATCCATTCTTCCTAACTGTCCTCAGTTCTATTGCTATTACTACTAAAATTATATCTCATCTATTTAATGTTAGTCCTAATTAATCTAAAATCTTTAGTTTCTAAAATTTTTCCTCATCATGGAATGTAATTTTGTCCAGATTGATATATGCCGACCGGTATCTATTAGGGCATGAATCAAGACATAGACCTTCCCTTTTTGGGCTATGTGGTCCAGTTTATTTATTAATTTTTTCAGCCTACCACTTAAGGTTTGCATGCAAGGTATGGAGTCACCATCAGACCTCCAGGTACTTCTCATCCTCATCTTCCTTGTCCTCTTCTTCCTCGTCCTCTCCCTCTCTTCTCCCTGACTTCTCCTGCTCTTTTTCTTCTTCTTGTCCTCGTCTCCATTTATCGATACAACAGCATGGACTGGACCTGTACCAATCTGATCATGGACCAGAACAAGTCTGATACTCAACTGCAAACATGGGTCTCCATAACTCAAGTTTAAAACTTATCAAAAGTCTCATCAATCAGAATAATATTACTAAGAAATAACATTTATCATATGGGTCTATCTTGTATATGGCTTGTAAGTTTGTCCATTATGAATATCAGAAAGTAAGGACTTATAGTTGATTCCTGAAGTAATATTATAATAATAACTATCTAGAGTCTAGCCAATATAGTTTTAACACTAATGAGTTAACTGTCATGCATATCTTTAATGACATTAATAGACTAGTAGATTTTTTTTCCAATAGATATCATTATAAGTCTTAAGGACTCTATCCTAAGTTCTTTCCAAGTCAATAAAAAATTATATGCAATTCTTTCCTTCTACTCTCTATATTTTTTCATTTATTGTCTTAACAAATAAAAGCTTCTGTAGTTGTATTTTCAAACATGAAACAAGTGTGATTCCTGAGTCCACTGGTCTAGAAAATCTTGGTATATCTTTTGAAGGTATATCATTTTGATGCTCAGTCTTTAGCTGATAACAACATTTCCTCGTCCAGAAATTCCTCGACACTGATTAAAATATTTTGGGACAGCCTGTAAGTAAAAGCATTGTGCATGCCAAACTTTGATGAGCATGGCTAAGTATACATATACACACACTGAATTAACCTTATGTAGTTACTTATGTTAACCAACAACTGTTTGATCTATCATCAGCAACCATTTCATAGTTCATTTGTGTTTAGCCATTGGCTTGACATCCTCAGATTTGTCTCTTGTACATTTCTAGTATATTGCTTGCTTTACTTACACCAAATCCTCCATTTTTTTTCCTTAAAAGATTTTCTAACCACTGACACAACCATCTTTGCTAAACACATGATTTGAACAATTACCATCATTTTGACACATTTTCCTTAAACAAGGAGGAATATAAGTTCTTACAATGTCCCTTTCCTCAAACAAAACCATACTGAATATAATAGCCATCAAGAATTTTTATATTCCAAACAAGCACATCATTCCTCTCAAAATAGGCAAAGCATATTAATAATAAAAACATATAAAGAGTGCATTCTGCCATGTTTCCAATGCATAGATGCCAACTTAGAAAAAGCTTAAACTTCAGAAGCAACATCATCGATGACCAAGAAATAGCTCATGAGTTGTGGTTCATGAACGGGAATGTATATATCCGGTATCAAAGCACACATCTCAAAAACAGGGAAGTTTGAATGATTGTGCAATTAGCAGCTTTATTAGAATATTGAGCTATCATGGAATTGAGCATGAAAACTTACATTGACCTTACTAGTATGTAGTGGATTAGGCATTCACAAAATTTTGAAGAATGAGTAATATCAACTTCCATTCTATTTAACAGTATGTAGTGAATAATTTACTAAACCAAAGGACTTATTTCCCTAGAAGCAGAATTTTTTGGGCCACAACTTCACTAATCTGGCAAGGACAAGTTTGGCATCTCACAATATTCACCTGTAAGTAGCTGAATGATATAGTTGTTTATCTTCCGAAGAAAACTTCATTTATATCATATACCACCTAAATACGACTTCTAGTTAGCTCCGTCTCTTGAGTACCCACCACATTTTATCTTGAAACTAGACCATTAAATTTTTTAAGAAAAGACATCTGCGAGTCTCTCTTTCCATACTTGATTTCATTGTCCCAACAAATAAGCTCTTGTTGTTGATAGTTCAAGAAAAACCAAAACTGATTTACAGAAGACTCGTATTATATTCTAGTTTTCATTTAGTAATCCTTTCATATAGTATTATAATATGGTACATTAACTCAAAATTTTGAATACTGATTTACTCTCAATTGCTTATTTCTACAAGAAATCAATGGTTTCAGATCCTTCACTATTTTTGGTCCTTAAAGCTATCTTTCTTATAGGATATTCATTAAATAACTTATTCTTGATTTATCTTAGAATTATTAAGAAGCACTTCTCGGCCTTCATCCTTTACAAATCTAATAGTACGAGAATATCCTTAGATTTAGTAAGCCTATAGAAACTATCATAAGCCATTTCCTCACTCATACTTGTAATGTTCTTAGTCTCCTTTCTAGTGTAAACTTCTGAATTGTGCTCATAAACAAGCATGCCAATTGCCATACCACCCTTTAACTTCCTATGATGTTATCTTCCACCAAAATTACCTTACTAAAAGCCTTATTGTGTTAATTTCTTATATAAAGGCCATCATAGTTGATAATGGCCATATATATCTGCTCTCAGTGTAATACTGAAATTTCATTTTTAGCAAATTTCTTAAAAGGTATATCCAGGATTACTTTCCAATAAGACTTCCCTTACAGATTGAATTTCATCCAGTGACAAAAATCCTACCACAGTGTTTGTTGTCAGTTCTTCATCTAAGCATGTGCATCAAACAACCATAAAAATCAAGCTGACTGCATAGATCAGCAACAGGTATCAACATTATCTTTCATCACAGTTCAAATACTTTTGATTCTAAAATCTAATTTTCAGTTGCTAGGTTATGGGTAACATACACTTCAGCTTCTCTTAACAATATTTGCTAAACACAATTTCGGATAACATGATACCATCAAGACGAGTAACTCCATCAACATGTACAGAAGGCATTTTGTGCTGTGTTTTTGATGAATGCTCATAAGAGTGTTTATCAGAATCCTTAAGTTTCCGTTTCTCTGTTTTTGTACTGTAGGATTGATAGCCAATCAGATGACAATTATGTTTCCTGCAAAAACCAAGAAACCATTAACATTACAGAAAGTAAATTAAATAACAATTAAACTTGTAACAGAAAAGAACGGCATCACTGTTATGATGATTAAATTAATCAGTGGAATTACAGTTATATAATCATGTATTTGAGAAAGAAAAGTTACTCCATTATAGGTTCCTATCTGAATATATTGATTATAGCAATCAGCATCAAAGTTGTAAACTAAAGTGCTGGTTCATCATTACAAAAAACAACACTTACTTAACATGAAAGCTAGATAAAAGAACATTTGAAACCTTAAAACAGCTGAGATGACAAAGCATCCTTACAAATGTTTAAAAAATAAAAGAATCTGACATCTTTTTCAGCCAGTCAGTTCTGAGATCATTGTCTTCTAAAGAAGAAACAGAGCAGTTTGTCTCCTTATCCATTGTTCTTACTTACATTATGACAGTTCTAGTGCTACCAGTCCATTTTTCTCTTTGTTCTTCCAGAACTGAATTATTGAAGAGCTCATGAATATAACAGATTTCTGTTGATGAGATCATTATGTAGATGGTCCAGCCAGTAGTTGTTATTGGACTAAAGTATTGTAGTAAAGTGCAGGTAATTTGGGAACATCCTACTTGAACTCCATTATGTGCAGCTATTTTAGAAGAAAGCTGATAATACTTGATCCAGAATTGTCACTTAGAAAACTAGAGATTATCTATGTTCTTAGTAAAACTGAACATCACCATTTAATGATATAACCTCTACAGAATTTCCAAGAAAGTGCTACAAATTTAAATGGGAGGATTGCTAGAAAATATATTCCTCATTTCATTTAAATACTTGGAAGTGGATTTTCTAAAACATGATGACATATGGGAGTGCTTGATTTATTCTTCAGATGAAAGTATGAGGTCTTTTGTTTCCAAGTACCATGGTCTGGTATTTTTCCAATTGCCCATATACAGTTTGATTTATTTTCTCAGTAACTTCAAACTATTTGCCACAGAATGTCGGACTTTTGATTTGATATGACTAGCATTTACTGATCCAACTAGCTAGCAGAGCACCCAAAACTGGGCAGTTCAAGCCTAATATAAGGCCTACCACCTGGTTTAGCCTGTGTCCTAACTCCTAAGCGAATCGATCAAATTTCGACCATTACAGACCTATTCCGATCAAAAACGATTGGATCTTGGTTAAGACTCAAATCCGACCATTGGGCTCTCTTTTGGGCCTATTTAACCTCCACCTTTCAACCTTCTATCCCCATCTTTTACTCTCACCCATTTCACTATCACCACACCACCTAATTCAATGGTATAACCAATCCGTTAACTTGTTGAGTCTGAATCACTACCCAAAATGCTTGAGCCTTAGGTTAATAGTCAAATTAACCTCGCCTGTAGGACTAAGTCACTAAATTGAAGTCATAATCTCACACACTTAATCCGCCACTTAAAGTCTTGACGTTCTTGTCAAGGCCAAACATAACCCAAAATTAGACCGTAGTTAGGTTTAGCCCAATAGTGGTTCTATGTTGTGACGTGTCCTCTAATCCCGTTCATGAGTAGCCCTTTTCTATTTGAGCCCATCATCATACCTAATACTAGATTGACTGAAGTCCTTTACTACCTGAGCCCCACATCATGTCCTTTAATACTAGATCGGCTTTGATACCATTTGTCACGATTTCATCTCATGATATCACTATTAACACTCCACATTTTAACTTGAGATCAAGGTGTCACAATATATATATATATATATATATATATATATATATATATATATATATCAAGGTTCGCCGTACCATACCATATCGGCGTTTCGACCTGAGCTCGGTACGGTACGGTACCAGTGTACCAAGAGGTATATCAAGGCGTACCGAGCGGTACACCCTAGTGTACCGAACAATTTTATACTTTTATACTGTAGCAGTGCTACAGTGTAGTACTGTAGCACTGTAGCGGTACCGGGCGGTCCACGTACCGGTAACCTGTCGGACTGGTATGTACCGCCCGGTATGGGCGGTATGCTTCGGTATGGCAGACCTTGATATATATATATATATATATATATATATATATATATACACCCTAAACCCTAAACCTTACATATATATCCATATATATAAATATGGCTCTTCTTCAAGTGAAATAATATCATTTAGAGCCTATGTCAAATTCTTTTCTAATATTCATTATAGAATGATATGGCCATAGAAAATCATTTTAGCATCTTGATGATCACTAGGCATAAGGTAATTTAACATGTCATTTTGTAATTTTAAATTTTGTGAGGTTGACTGAGTCCACCAATGCGGTTGTACTCCTATTATGATAGTTATAATTGTTGTTATCTTAAAGTATGATCTCAATATCATGATTTGCAACACCGTACCATACCGCTTGGTATAGACGATATGTACCAGTCCGATAGAGGACCGATATGGGTGATAAATCGGTACGCTTTATACTCTTATCATGATGGTCATAATTGTTGTTATCTCAAAGTATGATCTCGATATCATGGTTTGCAATACCGTATCATACCGCTCGATACGGGTGGTACCAAGGATTGCCATACCGACCCGTACCGCCCGGTACGTACCGGTCCGATGATATATCGGTACGCGGACCGCCCGTTACCGGGCGGAACGAATAATAATAATAAAATATATATATATTAA